CMRSCCCGACACGGCCACCGCTGGTGCCAGCCCCACGCTCTCTGATGCTCTCGGTGCCCGCACGCTGCAGCTGTGGGCGCTGTGCTCAGGGCTGTCTGGCACATGCTGTCCTGCCAGTGTGACTGCTGCAGTCCAGCTGCCACAAGGGATGCGGTGACAGGGTATGTGCACACCGGGAGCGCGGGGCTGGCGCAGCAGTGGGGCCACAGCCCAGCCGGAATGTCCGTGCCAGCGGCCACCACGGGGCTCAGCAGGGCTCTGTGCTGCTGGGGGCCATGGGGCTCCATCCCTTTCCTGCTCCATGCTGGCCCTTTGCAGAGATTTGCATGGCACAGAGCAGCACAGGAGCAGAGTTCTGGGACCCGCGGGATGAGGAGCACAGCCTGCAGGCCAGCCCCAGCCACTTGCAGGGAGAGGACCCAGCTCTCTGRGCACTCACCTGCCTGTGGCCTCTGCTGGGGCTGGGCACAAGCCCAGAGTGGTGATGCCAGTTAGCATCATTAGGCCTTGTTAAGGTGACGAGCTTTCAGTGCTCTGCTGTGCCAGGCTGCTCTGTTCAGCSTGCCGGAGCCCAATTAGTGTCACATCCAGGAGGCAGCTCCCGCAGAGCGCCGGCGCCCTTGGCACAGCCCTGTCCTGGAGCTGCTGTCCAGCTGAGAGCGGGCACAGCTCGGCGCAGGCCTGGCCGTGGAGCTGCCCACAGCTCCCCCTGCACACGGGGCCAGCAGTGCTGCTGCTGAGCAGGGTGAAGATCCCCTCTTGGCATCGTGTCAGGGACCAAGCCTTGCTGCTCTCCCTCAGCTCTGGGGGCTCAGCTGCCAGCCCGAGCCCTCAGCAATGGAACGGGGTGCAGCATCTCTCCTCTCCTAACAGGACAGCAGGCCCGWGCATGTTCACTCTTTATTATACATTAAGGTCTGAGATATTCCAGTTCTTTGATTTCTTGGGGCCAACACACACATGGGAGTACATGATGGAGGGGCTGGTGCTCACAGCCACCCCACGCTGGGCAGTGCAGGGTGAGGGGCTGTGAGGGGAGGGGGCTGTGAGGGGAGGGG